CTAGCTGTACCAAGACCCGGACATAATGTCATTAAGGTGGTTCCGTGTCACCGACCTTGGCTTACAATGTGCACAAACAGGCGACGCTCTGGAACAAGAAAAGCAACAAAAGGTTCAATATAACTGTCGACATGACGTTCAAACGACATAATAGATTAAGCCCCCTTTACTAGTTGCAATATTCTGCCATTAATACTCACATTGATACTCTTCGAACCATGTTTACATTAGCCGATGGCTTGAAAATATTTCACTTTCACTCTTAGTGTCATCGAACAGACAACAAACACATATGATTTGTAGAGGTTTGTGGGTGACCTTGACGTTCGCCCACCATGCTTTCACGTTGGGAAGGAGATTCGCTAAAGTTCTCGGAAACCTTAATGCAAAAAAGTATGGGATGATCACTCGGACATTTTGAAACCTAGTGGGTCTGTAGGGCAATTTACAGTAATTTGTTTGAGGTTGTAAACGAATATTGAACATGATGTTTTCAGTCTGATTCATTAACCAAAGGATATCTGCGGAAGTGTGATTGGTATAACTGCGCTGAAGACACACAGACAGATGACACATATTATCTGTCATCACAATGAAGTGGTGCGGCAGAAATGTATAGGCTCAACATCAAATAAGGTGTTATACATGAAACAAAAAAATAAATAATTCCCTTCATGACGCCGGTGGGGCAGGATATGCTTACCTTTTGAAATACACATCGCAATTTGATAAGCATATAGTTATGATACAATTGTACAATGGGCTTCTTTGGAAAGGGTTTTGTTGCTTTTTTAGCAAAAGTGAATGGCAGTAGTGCTCAAACAACGTAACCTAAGTGTCCAGGCTCGCTGACTTGGTTGATGTACGGCATCGTATCTCAATTGCGCGAATCGATGCTTTTGATGTCTATCACCGGATTGTCTCTTCCAGACTCTATTATTTACAGACCGCCGTCATAAAGCTGGAATATTCCTGAGTGCGGCGCCAAACAACAAACAAACAAAAAACTCTTACCTTAATTTTAGTTAGATCTGGTGACAAAGGCACCACACCCGAATAATACTAATGGAATAATACTAATACTGCTGTCCGCTCGAAGGATAGATCGGATCTGTTACCAGAGATCCAGCTTGACACGTTTATATCGCAGGGCTCAAACCCCTACCTGGGTCACGTGACATGAATGTATTCAAAGTGAGTAAATATTCCTTATACAATTTTACATTTGACGTGTATGAATCCGAGTTGATTTCACTTCAATGAACAAGTTTCCCGAGTTTCCGTAACTTGTTAAACATTTTGGCAGTACAAAGACTTGTATGTATATGTCAAAGGTATGTCAGTTTTCATATCACATGATCATCCATTATCAGCCCGAGGGGTATGATAATTATGAAAACTGCCGTATAATAACCTTTTTATCATACACCGTAATATGAAAATGTGAATTGTATCTATTCACAAGAGAGTGCAATACATTTTCACCCTGTTTGAAAGACGTTGTCACAGGAAGGCTAGCCGAGCAGACGACGCACTAAGGGAAGCAACTCCAGTAGCTTAACGCGGCTGACAAAAATGAAAATACAAGTGATAGGACCGTCTCTTTGTTGCCTCGTATGGACAGGTATATAACCACGTATACCACAGATGTCAATACACGAATATTGCCACACCCTGCATTCCGATACACGGAAATCTACATATACCCAGATCACGTACAAACGTACTCTTGTCCGCCTGTCATGCTTGTCTGAATCTCCGCTGATAAACTATATCCAATGTATCACATTTCATTGATGAATATGCACCAATGTATCATATCAGGGTATGAAACTCCCAAAAATTTCAGCCAGACCACAGGACTGGCTAGCTGAAATACTTGCCAGCCCTGACCAAAACCTGCCTGCCCACTATAATCATATGTTTCTCAGGATAAGCTAACGGGGTTTCTTTTTGGTTACATTTTATCATTCATCTTTACATGTGAATTAATGCTTATCATCGGGAAATATTTTGAATATTTTCACATATGAAATATAACCCGACCGTCGGGCAGGGGGATTTGAAAATCTGGCAGCCCGAGTTGAAATCAACCCGTCTCGGACGGTCGGGCAGGCAGGTATTTCGAACACTGATCATATCTAACAGGAATAAAACGAAAATTAATGAATGTGTATAACATCCCAACAGCTGACCGGCAGACTACGGCCAATACATATAATAATTTGCACCAATATTGCTAATTAAACTATTGAACTCGGACCTACGAAACCCAACGTGCTTAGTGCTAACGGAATAGATCTATACAAAAATAACTTACAGTTTACTCGTGGTATGTAAAACAGTTGCAGTTCTCTAACACTGCTTTGCAAACGTGTAACTGAAGGGCAGAATCTCAGTCGCGAGTTAGATAAACTGCCAACATTTATTATGACAATCCAGTGATTGACATCATGAGCATCGATCCACGCAATTGGGATACGATGACAAGCATCAACCAAGTCAGCGAGCTTGACCACCCGATTCCTTAGTCGCCTCTAACGACAAGCATAGTCGCCATTTACGACAAGCATTGATTACTGAAGACCTATTCTACCCTGGATCTTCACAGGTGGGTAGTAGAGGTAGATTATGATGGTTGGTTGGTTTGTTGTTTTACGCCGCACTCAGCAATATTCCAACTATATGACGGCGGTCTGTAGATAATCGTGTCTGGACCAGACAATCCAGTGCTTGACATCATGAGTATCGATCCACGCAATTGGGATCGATGACATGCTTCAACCAAGTCAGCGAGCCTGACCACCAGAACTTATTAGTCGCCTCTTACGACAAGCATAGTCGCCATTTACGCCATTGCATGGTTACTGAAGACCTATTATACTCCGGATCTTCACGGGTGGGAAGTAGAGGTAGATGATGTAGTAGTAGTGATGGTTCTGGTTGTAGTAGTAGTGATAGTTGCAGTAGAAGTAATAATGGTGGCGGTGGTGGTTGTCGTGGTGACGGTTGTGTAGTGGTAGTGGTGGCGGTGGTGTTGGTGTTGGTGGTAGCGTTAGTCGTAGTAACAGTGGTGTAGTTGTAGTGGTGGTAGCGACGGTAGCGGTACATCATTCTATCAGCAACTGGTTTGACTGTTCATTAACGCTATTCTCTCAAAACAACACAAATTTACATTTAAAACCAATGTCTGTAACATTTGATTGTTAACAGTTTATGTTGACATCCACGCGGTATATCTCTCAATATATCTCACAAGATCAGGCTTTATGCTCAAAAAACGATATTTTAAAAAGTTATTGTATTAAAAATAATCAAATAAAGAGGAGATGAGGTGAAATGGGGTTTAACGTCGCGTTCAAGATTATTGCACTCATAAAGCGACGTGCTTGCACGTGTGTGTGTGTGTGTGTGTGTGTGTGTGTGTGTGTGTGTGTGTGTGTGTGTGTGTGTGTGTGTGTGTGTGTGTTCGTGTGTGTGTGGCTGTTTGTACTAGTCCGAACTATAGTGCTAGCCCACTGTTTTAGTCCCTTAATGCCGAGCGCCATGGTAACAACAAGTACCATCTTTTAACGTCTTTTGGTATGACGCCGCCGGGGATCGAAACCACAACCTTTCCCTCCCCGGACAGACGTTTTACTACAAGACTGACCCGTGAAGATCCAGGGTAGAACATATGTTGGTCTTCAGCAACCCATGCTTGCCGTAAAAGGCGACTATGCTTGTCGTGAGAGGCGGCTAACGGGATCGGGTGTTCAGGCTCGCTGACTTGGTTGATGCATGTCATCGATCCCAATTGCGTGGATCCATGCTCATTATGTCAATCACTGGATTGTCTGGTTCAGACTCGATTATTTACAGACCGCCGTCATATAGCTGGAATATTGCTGAGTGCGGCGTTAAACAACAAACCAACCAACCAACCACTAGACCGCAGAGGTGATCCATCAATATGGGGAATCGAACCGGTCTTCGGCTTGCCGAGCGAAAGCTTTATCCCTTAGGCTACCCCTTCGTCCCCCTGCAAGTTAAAGTACTTTCTTGTAGGCATCCCCGTCAAACTAAGTAAAAAAGTTTGTATCAATCAGGTTTTTTTTCTGAAAATGTGCTTTAGTTAAATCCGTAACACTGATAATGAAATTAACTAATATGATATGCACGCCAGTTAGGAAAATCATGAAAAGTACAGGTATTCTAACAATACTGACTGAATTTTACAGCGATAGCTTGTGGACAGTGGACGTTGAAACATTGATAATGATCAAGAACGATCAACTGCAAATGATGTCATTAGTAAAACAGTGTGTGTGTGCGATGTTTTTACACGATGTTGATATCCATTGTCTGGCTGATGTTTCACGAAAGGTGCAAGGCTTGTTCCTAGAGTAGAGCATGAAAGGTGCAAGGCTTGTTCCTAGAGTAGAGCATGAAAGGTGCAAGGCTTGTTCCTAGAGTAGAGCACGTTCTACATGTCCACCCAGAACGTCGTTGCATAACATTGTCAGATAGGCCGGGAGGTTGGTGACGTCTCCCCATTGTTTCAAGGCGCTGGTGACTTGGCTGTATGCTTGAACTTCACGAGACTAAATAAATGTACACACTTTCAGTTGCTTGTTACTGAACACCCTAATAGTCCCCGTGCACGTGCTTGCTGGTTTGACTGGGACTAAGGGAGCAACCATCTTATTTTTTTTAGGGGGGGAGGGGTAGCGATATTTTCTAAAATAAGACTACAAGCCCTGTTTTACTGAAAACAATTATGTGCCTTTTTCTTACAGAAAGTGGACTTTGTATTATCGAAGAGTCAAATGTCTGTGTAAAGTGATCTAAGCTCAAACTGAAATCAAGCTCACAACCCCCGACCCCGACCCCCACCCCCTTGACATCAAATGGTTGCTCCCGAAGGTTGGACTATAAAACATGGTTACTTCTACAGTCGCATCACGCATGCGTATTATTTCTAGCGATTATTTCCAATTTCCAATTTCCAATTTCCAGCGATGTACAGGTTCCTGCAATCACTTGGTTTGGCCCAGCAGGCCCCTCAGGCCGGACCCCAGGCAACAGCTCAGGCAACAGCTCAGGCAACAGCTCAGGCATCCCAAGCAACACCCCAGGCAACAGCTCAGGCACCCCTGGCACCCCAGGCAACAGCTCAGGCACCCCAGGCAACAGCTCAGGCACCCCAGGCAACAGCTCAGGCAACCGCTCAGGCATCCCAGGTGACCCGGCAGCAGGCAGCGGACCAGACACCGTCAACGTCAAGGTCTTCTTCTTCTTCCTCGACGCCCTTTGCCACCCCGATGACGACCACACCGGCACCAACGAGGCGGACAGCAGTGGCACGTCATCGGGGGGCGGCGCCATTGAATGTGAGTAAACACAATAGTTTTATTTTAATTAACTGCTTCAACCCGTTCTATTAGATCTATACACGTCTACTAGTTCTGTGTACATGCCTACTCTGTCTTACTCCCATGTGTCGCGTGTTCTGTTTATTTCAATATTGTGTGGCTGAGAAGGGCTTTAAGCCAATGTCCGCGCGGCGGGCAAAATATATGAATGTGTATAGTAGAACATCAATCAGCGTATTAGGCGGACACCTTGCTGCCTATTGATTCAGTACATGTACATAAACCTTGACTATGTGAAGCATTATAACTGCAATAGGCTGACATCTTACATTTGTTTTGGGCAGCTTGTCGAGGCTGAACTCCTCCAGCTCCGCGAGGAGAACAGGCGAGTCCTTGAGGAAAACCGACGACTCAACGAGGAGAATCGTCTACTGAAGGAGGAAAACAGGCGATTGAAAGCAAATGTAAGTCAGATACAGAATGATTTTTTTTTTACACCAATGTGAACAGCATAAGTCTTGTGGTAGCACGACATCTTGATGTTGACACAGGCTACCAGTACAGTGTTGGTCATACGTCTTCCGTCTGCACAATGACGTAATCGAGCCTCTGAACCGCGAGATATTCTCTTCGACTATTTATATAACTACTAGATACTAGGAACAGGTCCTTAGGAAATGGGCTAAGGCAATATAAAGAGTTTGACATTCAGTTCATAACATTGATGAGTAAGCGTTGTTTTATTGTCAGGGTTATAGCTAGTTATTGTAGTCATAAATTATTAAATATAAATATCCCTGAAGAGACCAGGTATGTTGTTTGTCCAGGCACGCTTCACAATATGCATAACGAACACGTGTACTGTCTGTGTTTACACCTTCATAATGTCAACTCTTACATTTCTTCTTAGGGTGTCCCGTCGACAGCAACGTCAGCAGCAACGGTAACGGCGACAGCACCGACGACAACAGCGACAGCAACGACGACATCAGCGGCAACAACGTCGACGTCAGCGGCAGCGTCGACGTCAGCGGCAGCGTCGACGTCAGCGACCCCGTCGACGTCAGCGGCACCGTCAACATCAGGGGCACCGTTGACGGCAGTGACTCTCGGCACTTTGGCAACACAGACGGTTCCAATTGTGAGTATACTATGTGGTTAATTCTCATTGACAGTGTAAGATTCATCTATTTTGAATAACTCCTTTGCCATTTAGCTTAAGATGCCTGAATTAGTCGTCCTTGACATTGTCAAAGTGAGCTTATTTTAGGGTTTGCCTTCACCATCGGTGTTTCTTCCTCCCCTCAGCATTTCAATTAAACCACGTATTCAACATTCCTGTGCATACCGAACTGTTCCACAAAAACATTTCTTTGTGATTCCGGGATACAATGGCTCACAGCAACATATGCTGGTCGTAAGGTCACACTCGGCAGCCACATGAGACGCTCGCATGGCGATCTACCTTCACTTGTTGGCGATGTATAGCCCTTTTTTATATTGTATTGTTACATATATTGATATCTTTTTATGGTTCCATGCTAGTTTAATATATTACTGTGATATTCAAGTTATCATACTGTCCATCGATGTCAGGTTTTTATATAGTATGATTATATGTATTAATAATGTATTACTTCTCATCACGATATGGCTGAGATCTTGCCGATGTGACGTTGAATATTAAGCCACTCACTAACTCCAGCCACATGACGGTCTGTAAATAATCGAAAGGCGACTGACGGGATCGGTGAATCAGCCTCGCTGACTTGGTTGATGCATGTCCTCGTATCCCAATCGCGTAGATCGATGCTCATGATGTCCATCACTGCACTGTCAATCCTCTATTATTTACAGATCGCCGTTACATAGTTGCAATATATAGTACAGACAGTTTATATATGTGTATATTTATGTGTATAATTACAAACAGTTATTATATTATATTATCAATGGGTATTTTTTCTCTCAGAATCAGGTCGTCAATAACAGGATGCGCGACCAGAGACATAGGCAGAGGACCGTCACCATGGTTAGACAACAGCAACAGCAACAGCAACAACAAAGGCAACAACAAAGGCGAGAGGAACAGCTGAGGATGGCTCGCGAACATCAACGGCAACAGCAACAGCAGCAGCAGCAACAACCATACCAGACCCTGATGCGTATATTAGATGAGGCGCAGAGGACTTCGGTGAGATGTCGTTACTTCTCTTATTAACTGAGATATTATGAGACTGACTTCTATACCCAACGATTGTAGAAGTACTGGTTGTCAAGCACCGACTTGCATTTTGCCGTACCTTCTTAATGCTACTACAACGAACACTCCTAATGCGCTGTCATCAGTTCATGAAAGAATCCGACAGAGGACAATAAATAATGCGTTAGGGTGTTTCATTGTCCCATTCGGGGGCATGGTTGGCCCAGTCATCTAAGCTGCCGCAATTGGCTGTGCAGAGTTCCCTTATCATGCCAGAAACCTATGAACGTGGGTTCGAATCCCAGCTCGAATGTGTGATTGCACTCACGTTGATCAGTCTACCATCCCATCGACCACTGTTCGCTTGTCAGTAAATATTAGCTGTAATATTGCTGCCTGCGGCGTTATGCACATTCACCCCTTCACCTGTCCACATGCAACGGTGACTCTACCCCCACTGACCTCCCTGATACGTACGATTTCGTGTTCGAATCCCGGTTCGCACCGATTATTTCTGATTCTCAGCGCCATGCTCGTGTCTTCCACCAATGTGGTAAACGTCTGAGGCCTGCATTACCTCGGGTGTTCATCCTACATTAAGCTGACATGCCATGAATTAACTAGACTACTGTTCCAAGCTGTGGTAAAACCAACACTCATGTATTGCCATATACAGTGTTAGTCGAGCTGATTGGCGAAGCTAGCTTCCACGAGACGCTTGTCCCACATTAAATTGATTCCTCACCGTCATAACCGATACATTCATTCAGTAAATGTCTGTCCCAAAACACATGCAAAAAGCATTGGTATTTCTTGTTTTATTAACATTGATATAGACGGACGTTGTAATAGCAATGCTATTACGCTGTATGATAGAAATAATAGTTTCAATTGTATGACATTAACATTTTCTTACAATGAACTTGATCCTCCATTCAGAGTAGGAGTCCGGCACAGAATCTGTACAACAGCAAACAAACCTTTAATCTTGCATGACATACACTATCTTTCATTGTAAATGGTATTTCAATAGCTGCTAGTCTCAACAGCAAGCTTGAAAGTGCGACATCTAAATCAAGAACTATGTTCTCAAATGTTGTAGGGGGCACGGGTGGCCCAGTCGTCTAAGGCGCCGCGATTCCCTGTGAAGAGTTGCGTCCCTTGGGCACGCCAGAAACCTATGATTGTGTGTTCAAATCCCGGTTCGCCCCGATTATGTTTCTAGATTTGTCAGCACCATACCCGTGCTTGTGGGTTTCACCGAAGTGGTAAACGTCTAAGACCTGCATCACTTCGGGCTTTCCTCCCACATTAAGCTGACACGCCGTGATATAACTGGAATACTGTTAAAAGCGGCGTTAAACCCAACTCACTCTCACTCAAATGTTGTATTAATATACTTGAACAATACACCCCAACTCACTCACTTTCTACAATAGGAACCCCATCGATACATGATTAGTATCGTTATTATAACTATGTTAAGTGTAACGGTGATTGTTCCCTTTTAAACTAAAACCTGGTCTCACTTTAAGCCGATAGTTCACTATAACACTGATATACTCCGACAATAAACCCAAACTCACTGTCCACAAACCCGTGAACATCTATTATAGGGTAGGTCTTCAGCAACCCATGCTTGCCATAAAAGGCGACTGTGCTTGTCGTGAGAGGCGAATAACGGGATCGGGTGGTCGGGCTTGCTGACTTGGTTGATGCATGTCATCGTATCCCAATTGCGTGGATCGATGCTCATGATATCAATCACTTGATTGTCTGTTCCAGACTCGATTATTTACAGACCGCCGTCATATAGCTAGAACATTGCTGAGCGCGGCGTTATATTACAAACCGACAGACACCCTCCACAATAGGAACATGATTTATGATTTATATCGTTTATATATATATATATATATATTCCTGGTTAGTAGGACCGTGTACTCAGTCGCTGAGTAAGGCTCTAAGTATTGTTTTTTCCATTACAGAGACGAGGACGCGTCCGAAAACCTGCTGGTGTTGTCCAGATGTCCTTGGGAGGAGGCATGACAAGTGAGTTGACCCGATGTGTCGATGTATCGTTTACAAAGGGAGGTAATCAACACATTGACCAATTATACGTGGGTTTTAGTGTCTAGACCGCTGGCTTGTCACACACACCAAACTTACGTTATGTTATCCCTTGTGTTTAGCCCATTCTTGTTATCCGCCCTGATATTGGTGGAATAATGATATACAGGCACGCACTCACTCACTCACCCACGATTAGCCCCGTGAAGATCAGGGTCCGACGTGGCCTTCAGCAACCCATACTTGTTACAGGCATCTAACGGGATCGGGTAGTCAGGCTCGTGATTGGTTGATGCATGTCATTGTATTCAAATAGCGCAGATTGATGGTCATGTCAGTCACTGGATGGCCTCGTCCACACTCAATTATTTACAGACCGACACCATAAAGCTGGAATATTGCTGATTATGGCGTTTACCAACAGACAAACAATTCGCCTTCAATCGCTACTGCTGCTACCACTACCACTACCACTACCACTACCACTACCACTACCACCACTACTACTTCTACTTCTATATGTTCTCCGGGTGACCCTGGACAGAACAGATCACCCAGTACCTGATTCCTGTTCTCGAGTACATGTATGGACAGGTCACAATGTGTGATTGTACGTTGATCAGTCTACCATCCCATCGACCACTGTTCGCTTGACAGTAAATATTAGCCATAATATTGCTTCCTGCGGCGTTATGCAACATTCACCCCCTCACCTTTCCACATGCAATGGTGACTCGACCTCCGACAGACATCCCTGATACGTATGATTTCGTGTTCGAATCTTCGACATGATTGTTTCTAGGTTTATCAGTACCAAAGTGGATAAGTCTGAGACCTTCATCAATGCTGGCTTTCCTCCAACATCAAGCTGTTGTGTCCACTAGGAATATACCTCGACATATGTTTACATGAATTACCTTAAGTACTGTTCGGCACTGAGGCGGTCGGGTAGCCTAGTGGTTAAACCGTTCGCTCGTCACGCCGAAGACCCGGGTTCGAATCCCGACATGGGTACAATGCGTGAAGCCCATTTCTGGTATCCCCCGCCGTGATATTCCTGGATTATTGCTAAAAGCGGCGTAAAATCAAACTCACTCACTCTGCACTGAGGCAACCTCTCTTTAAATTTTGAGGATTTACAGATAAGATTGATCTGTTTCGGAAATTGGTTTTGGTACATGCTTGTGCAAGTTGATTAGTGTGTATCTTGGTAAAAGAATAGGAGTTTCCATCCTGGTGTTTAAATGGTATATTTCTACATATTTTCACGAAAATCTCCTTTCCACTTCAGAAATAGTTCCAGACGACCAAGCTGCATTTATCAGGAAAAGACGGCAATAGGCAACCAGCATCGTAGGACACGAGCTGCAACTGGCGCCCAGGTTAATCTGGTGTTACATCCCCAAAGGCGGTAAGTAAAACTATGGTTATGAACGAATAAGTTATTCTCCAGGAATTAATTCTTTAGAGCAAACATTTTCCCCTCATTTTGGGAACGGACATTGCATTTAGCGAGCATTGGCCTCATTCAAACACCAACATTTGACAAGGTTCTTATGTTCTCTATGCTCTCCGGGTGACCCTGGGCAGAATAGGGAACCAAGCACAATATGGTTGTTGAATACAATTAGTGCCAGTCACAGGTGTACTTGTACATCTGTTCGCTTGTCAGTAAATATTAAATATTACATTGCTGCATGCGGCGTTATGCAACATTCACCCCCTCACCTTTCCACATGCAATAGTGACTCTACCTACCACAGACATCCCAGATACCTATGATCTCGTGTTCAAATCCTGATTTGACATGTCATCGATCCCAATTCCGCGGATCTATGCTCATCATATTTATCACTGGATTGTCTGGTCCAGACTCGATTATTTATAGATCGCCACCATATAGCTGGAATATTGCCGAGTGTGGCGTTAAACAACAAACCAACCAACCGGATTTGACATGATTGTTTCTAGGTTTATCAGCACCTGGTGTTTAAATGGTCTGTTTCTTCATATGTTAACGGGGTCGGTCGGGTAGCCTAGTGGTTAAAGCGTTCGCTCGTCACGCCGAAGACCCGGGTTCGATTCCCGACATGGGTACAATGTGTGAAGCCCATTTCTGGTGTCCCCCGCCGTGATATTGCTGGAATATTGCTAAAAGCGGCGTAAAACCATACTCACTCACTCACTCACATATGTTAACGAAAATCTCCTCTCGACTTCAGACATCGAGACCAGCGACAAGGCTGCGTTCAACAGAAAAAGGCAGCCATAGGTGACCAGCCTCGATGACCACAAGCTGCCATTGACAACATTTACCTGGCGTTACATCTTCAAATGCCGTAAGTAAAACTAAAGTTAGAAACTCCAGGTATTAATTTTTTCGGGCAAACATTGTCCCGTCGTTTTGAATCAATATTCATTTTCTGCTTTATATCACACTTTGGCAGTGGTTATGTTAATGCGTACATTCCCGATACTCGACTGTCCACATAAACAACTTCACGAAGGACAACACAAACCTGATCTCATCGTCATGTTTGTTTATAGAAGTGATTGAATAATTCTGAAATTATATAAAATTGTTTCTTCAGGTGTGCTGACAGGCTACCTTCTCCGCCAATGACACCGCTTCATGTGCAGGAATTGACACCCTCTGATACACTCGATATCAATGCATCTTATCACTAAACTATACAAAGCATTTCATCAATCTTGACAACCGGCATGGTCCAAAGATGCAACGTAACTTGTTGGAATTATCAGGATCTGGGTTTTGTTTTTTTAAAACTTGGTACGACGTCCTGCTTTTGACACGTTCGTCCACTTACAAGTCCCTGATGGTGTCCATGTGTACCTCCTGATGACTCGGCAGCTCCGAGGTGTTGAGGGGTGTTTCATGTTTCATGGCTCACATTTCTATCTGAAACACCCGCTAACACCTTCTAGTTGAACGATGACTCGGCTGTATTCACAGGCATTTTCGAGGGTAATTGTATTTGGTCAACGTTTTCAGTAAGGGGATTGTTGTGAAAAAATTTAATACGCGCAAAGCAATGATCGTGTCAGATCTTACTTGTATGTCCGACAATGTGTCAAATTACAAATGGTTAAAGCGTCATATCAACAAAATATTTCAGTTTGTATTCTTGATACTATGTGTTGAAGGCGTCTGTTCTTAATCATGTGCGGTGCTATGGTAGGATGTTGGCGGTATCAGTCTACAACGAAGATGGATGTTTGTTGAACATAACTAAATGACAGGTAAGTTTCAAACTGTGCTTATTTGATGGTTAAACGTGCAACTTATTTTAAAGACTGGCTGTTCCAAACAACTGTTTTAAGACATTCAGAACTCCAAAACTTATAGAACACCGCGTTCATAAGTTAAAATCTAAATTCTAGACACTCTTCATACAAAACTTCATACCTATCTTTTCCTTTACTCGACACGCCTTTGGTCAATTCAGTTCTAAGTTTGTGTCCTGTGTGTGAGAATTTACATCTGATCACAATCTGTCCTTGTACAGGCAAGCTCTCCCAGCTGTTCACTACACCGTCTACAACGCCCGTCTACAACGCCCGTCTACCACACCACACCTCTAGTCTATGGTGAGTATATGACCGCTTGATCCCTGCAATATAACTTGATACTTTATATACACAATGAAGACCGTAAACGTCCAGAGACGACACTCGACTGCACCTACAGCCTAAGACACCAGTTGACAAATGATAATATCCACATAGTAAAAATATAGACGTTATCACGCGAGTGTATTTGTGGATAATAAATGTCTGTTTTGGGAAGAGACATTGCATTTAGCCAGCATTGGCCTCACCCGCTCACCCACAATTAATGGGGTTCTTCTATATGCAGAATAGGTAACCCAGTACCTTATGGTTGTTGAATACAATTAGGGCCACTCACATGTGTGATGGCCCGTGAAGATCCGGGGTAGAATAGGTCTTCAGCAACCCATGCTTGCCGTAAAAGGGGACTGTGCTTGTCGTAAGAGGCGACTAACTGGATCGGGTGGTCAGACTCGCTGACTTGGTTGATGCATGTCATCGATCCCAATTTCGTGGATCGATGCTCATGATGTCAATCATTGGATTGTCTGGTCCAGACTCGATTGTTTACAGACCGCCGTCATATAGCTGGAATATTGCAGACGGCGGTGTTAAACAACAAACAAATAAACACATGTGTGATTGTACTCACGTTGATCATTCTACCATCCCATCGACCACTGTTCGCTTGTCAGTCAAATGTTTGTAATATTGCGGACTGCGGCGTTCTACAACATTCATCCCTTCATCTTTCCACATGCAATGGTAACTCTACCTCCCTTAGATGTCCCAGAAACTCCAATTCCATACACCTCGTCAAGTTTATGTTAGACCATCTTTACAATATAGAAATCTTCCAATCACAATAACAATTGTTGACATACAATTTAGGATGGTCACTCTTGTCAAATAGTGTGGTAAGGGAATTCTTTGAGTAGTTTGTTTGTCTGACATATGCTGAAATAACAAACGAGTCTAGCACTCCTTCTAAATATTTCTTTGAATTAAAAACAAGGTTTTCAAACATTATTTTATTTCTGAAGGTAATGTCCAGCCTCAGTCGCCACCAGCCTCAGTTGCCACCAACCTCAGTTGTCACCAGCCTCAGTTGCCACCTGCCTCAGATGCCCTCTCCCTCAGTTGTCATCTGCCGCCTGCCTCGGTTGCGACCTGCCTCAGTTGCCGCCTGCCTCAGTTGCCACCTGCCTCAGTTGCCACCTGCCTCAGTTGCCACCTGCCTCACTTGCCACCTGTCTCAGTTGCGACCCGTCTCAGATGCCACCAGCCTCTGTTGCCGCCTGCCTCAGTTGCCACCAGTCTCAGTTGCCACTTGCCTCACTTGCCACCTGCCACCTGCCTCCTGCCTCGGTTGCCGCCTGCCTCACTTGCCACCTGCCTCACTTGCCACCTGCCTCACTTGCCACCTGCCTCAGTTTCGACCCGTCTCAGATGCCACCAGCCTCTGTTGCCACTTGCCTCAGTTGCCACCAGTCTCAGTTGCCACTTGCCGCCTGCCTCGGTTGCGACCTGCCTCAGTTGCCACCAGTCTCAGTTGCCACCAGTCTCAGTTGCCGCCTGCCTCAGTTGCCACCAGTCTCAGTTGCCACTTGCCTCACTTGCCACCTGCCACCTGCCTCAGTTGCCACCTGCCACCTGCCTCCTGCCTCGGTTGCCGCCTGCCTCACTTGCCACCTGCCTCACTTGCCACCTGCCTCAGTTTCGACCCGTCTCAGATGCCACCAGCCTCTGTTGCCACTTGCCTCAGTTGCCACCAGTCTCAGTTGCCACTTGCCGCCTGCCTCGATTGCGACCTGCCTCAGTTGCCACCAGTCTCAGTTGCCACCAGTCTCAGTTGCCGCCTGCCTCAGTTGCCACCAGTCTCAGTTGCCACTTGCCTCACTTGCCACCTGCCACCTGCCTCGGTTGCCGCCTGCCTCACTTGCCACCTGCCTCACTTGCCACCTGCCTCACTTGCCACCTGCCTCACTTGCCACCTGCCTCACTTGCCACCTGCCTCAGTTGCGACCCGTCTCAGTTGCCACCAGTCTCAGTTTCCGCCTTCGGCCTGCCTCAGTTGCCGCCAGCCTCAGTTGTGACCCCTCTCAGTTGCCACCAGCCTCTGTTGCCACTTGCCTCAGTTGCCACCAGTCTCAGTTTCCGCCTTCGGCCTGCCTCTGTTGCCGCCAGCCTCGGTTGCCGCCTGCCACCTGCAACCTGCCTCGGTTGCCACCTGTTTCGGTTGCCTCAGTTGCGGCCTGCCTCGGTTGCCGCCTGCCTCAGTTGCGACCTGCCCCAGTTGCGACCTGCCTCACTTGCCACCAACCACCAGCCTCAGTGGACACCAGCCTCAACCTCCACCTGCCTCAGGTACCTCACCCGACATACACTTAGCCTAAATTGATCAGACTCCGCAACCAAACTAATCCGGACTCACCAAGACAGTAAACATCTCCATGCTCTCATCGTAAACAAAGTTATAGTTTCTAAAGTTGGTGATCGTAGATAAGTGTGTACGTTGGCAAGTAATAGATGTTCCTATCTCCGTGTTTGTTCATTGCCTCTTTCATATATGTTAACGAAAATCTCCTTATCACTTCAGGTGCCGTTCCGGAGGACCAGAACGCAGCCTCAGTCACCTTAACAGTTGACAGGCGAAGTTGCCGTCTATCCAGTTTCCACCAGTCTCAACCTCATCCACTAGCTGCCATTGGTCTCACCGTCAACAGTCCATTGGTCATCGAGTCATTCCTCCTTCACGGTAAGCGGCCATGCCTCAGATGCAGTAAGTAAAACTGTACATTTATACTGTAGGAATTAATTCTTAATGTTTAAAGATTGAATTCCTACTGTATATTTCCTTTGAACAGTTGTCATATAAGTGCATGCATTTCCGACATTATTTGTCCATCCACTATCAAACAAAGCTTTAAAAACGGCCACGCGTATTTGAATTGGTCGTCATGTTTGTTTATAAAAGGGATAGAATAATTGAGAAATTAACGAAACTGTTTCTTCTTCAGATTTGCTGACAGGCTACCTTCTCCGCCAATGACACCGCTTCATGTGCAGGAATTGACACCCTCTGATACACTCGATATCAATGCATCTTATCACTAAACTATACAAAGCATTTCATCAATCTTGACAACCGGCATGGTCCAAAGATGCAACGTAACTTGTTGGAATTATCAGGAGCTGTTTATTTTGTTTAAAACTTGGTACAACGTCCTGCTTCAGACACGATCGTCCACTTACAAGTCCCTGATGGTGTCCATGTGTACCTCCTGATGACTCGGCAGCTCTGAGGTGTTGAGGGGTGTTTCATGTTTCATGGCTCACATTTCTATCTGAAACACCCGCTAACACCTTCTAGTTGAACGATCACTCGGTTGTATTCACAAGCATTTTCTAGGGTAATTGTATTTGGTCAACGTCTATAGTCAGGGTGTTGTTGAGAAATATTTTAATCGCTGGTATCTTTCCGAGAACGTATCAAATTGCGTTTGGTTAAAGCGTCACATCAACAAAATATTTCAGTGAACATTTATGATGCTATGCGTTAAAGGGTTTTCCCAATCATGTGCGGTGCTGTGGTAGGAGGTTGGCAGTATCAGTCTACCACTGACGTGGATGGATGATGAACAGAAATAAGTGACAAGGTAAGTTTCAAACTGCGTTTATTTGATGCTTAAAAAATACAAATTTTCTCTTATTGACACTGTTCCTAACAACTTTCTTAAGAAGTACAAAACTTCCTACCTATCTTTTTCTTTACAGAACACTCCTTTGGTCAGTCCAGTTCTAGGTTCGTGTTCCTGTGTGTTAGAAATGACATCTGATCACAATTTGTACTTGTACAGACATCCTTGACCCAGCTGTACACCGTCTACCGGACCCGTCTACCAGACTCGTCTAACGCACCCGTCTACTGCAACCGTCACCGCTCTAATCTATGGTGAGTGTAAGAACGCTCGGTCGCTGCAGTTTGTGTGTACCAGTTGTAGTAGTCACCGTGGCTCACCACAGTATGGAAGCGTGTTAGTGCCAGTCTCC